AGATGGCAAAGAAATAAAGACTTTTTAATTATGTACCGAACTCATATATGTTTCTATGGTAGCACAAAATTCACCAGAATGTAGGCCAAAGCTTTACTTTACAAGCAGTAGGCCTAAAATATTTTCCGTCTGATCTTGTAAGAGTCAATTGTTTATGAATAGTTTGCCTCAAGCAGATATCCTGTCACTGTGTCACAGTATCATATAACCGCTCTTTGGCTTGAACTGAGTTGTATCAGTGAGTTGAAAATCTACTGCAGCCAGTATATTAGATTCAAAATTCTAACGAGCTTTCGTCTAACTTCTAACTTCTGTTCATGTATTTTTTAACTTCTATTCATGTAATTTCTAACTTCTATTCGTGTATTTTGTTAAATTAAGACAATGTATAATCCAACTTCTTTATTTGTTCAGTGTAAATTTTAATTCTATTCCATCTTATTTCTATTATTTAGACGAAAAACGTCTTCTTAATTTTTACACTTCTGCCTAGCAACCATCATTATGAAGTCATTTGGTGTCGCCACTGCGTGCTCATTTTTGGTGATTGCGCACCTGGTCGGGACTATTGTGTTGATATAAACGACACATTCTTGATAAAGACGAGAGTGTCCTCGTCGAAACGTTGCTTTATATTAAACTCAATAAGAGTTATCTATAAAATTGTACCCTGTGTTAATGTAGACCAACAGTATATAAATATTAATTGGCTCAACTGTAAAAAAAAATCAAATAAAATTCTCCAAATCCTGCACTTGTCTTAAAAAAAATGAACAAATGCTGTTTAGCTTGTATTTGAAATAGAAAATGAAATATAATGGGGTTTAACATCCTACTATTCTACTCCGAACTTGGCTAATACGCCATACAGTGTGCTACGAAGGAAACTTTGCCCGGACAGCTGCACTACGGAACGATTAGACAGCTGTACTTGTTAGGCCCTCCATCCTGCATCACTGACAAGGAGGAACCATGCCAGAAAATCTGGATGAACTTTCTTGACCAATGCAGGGATCGAACACCCTACCGCTAGGCTAGTGAGCCAGCGTCTTACCGACCGTATTTGAAATCGTATTTGCAAACCATACATAGATATCACGTTCAATGTTGTTTGTGGGGTTGGATGGCCGAAAGGTTAGCACGTGCGCGCTGTACCATAAGGTATGTCATTGAGTCAACTGGTGTGGTTTCGATTCCCCGGTTGTACGTGACAAGGAATAGGGTCGCCTGTCCAACCTAGTGGGTTTTCTCCGGGTCCTCCGGTTTCCTCCCATTGCTAAACACCCCTACGCGCAAGCGAATTATTGAAATAAAATTGAACTATGTTAATACCGAACCTACATGTAGTTTGTGTTGAGTGGACGTTTAACCCCATCAGACTCTCTCTCTCTCGCTCTCTCTCTCGAAGTTGTTTTCAATTTTAGCACTCCACCAAACCATTCAACTGGACTAAGAGCGAGTCGTTTGTATCAACAGAATGGTCCCGATCAGGTGCTCAATCGCCAAATTGAGCGAACGGTGGCGACACCAAACGACGTCATAATGATGGTTGCTAGGTAGAAATCAAAATTCTAAATTTGTTTACCATTCATTCTTAACATGTAAAGTGACTAGACATTTTTCGCCTTAATAATAGAAATAAGATGAAACAATTAAAATTTACACTGAACAAAAAAAGAAGTTGAATTATACATTGTCTTAATTTAGAAATTACATGAATGGAAGTTAGAAATTACAAGAGTAGAAGTAAGAAATTAGACGATAGCATGTTAGAATTTTGAATCTAATATACCGCCATAGTATACGGGGAAACTTTTTAAACCCTTACAAATTCTTCAAATTTTTGTGATAGATCAATAATAGCAAAAATCTGTGTTAAAATTATATTTGTAATGTGTTTAACAAATTCTATCACACATGTAATATTGGTGTAATTAAGTATATACCTTATTTCAATATTGGGGTATTATATCGTTGCCCTGACTGTTTGTTTGTCCAAATTAGTTTGTGATTGTGAAGGTGACAGTTTTTTATACGCTAACATTTTCATGTAGACGTATATTTTTGTAGCCCCTGTCCGTCCGAACGTCCATCAGTCCGTCCACAATTGTTTGTGGGACCGTAACTTCATGGATTATGGCCCCTGATTGTACTGAAAGTGATGTTTTTAGCTTGTGGACCCTATAGAGGTCAAAATTTTTATACGCCCACATTTTCATGTGGACGTATATTGTGGTAGCCCCGGTCCGTCCGGACGTCTGTACACAATTGTTTGTGGACACTCTACAGGTCACAATTCTTATCCGATTTTGACGAAACTTGAAATATAGGTTTATCTCCAAAAGATCTTGGTTGCTTTCGATATTGGCATGTATCTGACCGTAACTTCTTGGATTATGGTCCCTGATTGTACGAAAAATCAAGTTTTTAGCTTGTGGACCCTAGAGAGGTCATAATTTTTATACGCCCACATTTTCATGTGGACGTATATTATCGTAGCCCTTGTCCATCCGTTTTTAGCTTGTGGTCCCTATAGAGGTCACAATTTTTATACGCCCACATTTTCATGTGGACGTATATTGTCGTAGCCCCTGTCCGTCCAGACGTCCATCGGTTTTTAGCTTGTGGTCCCTGTAGAGGTCACAATTTTTATTCGATTTATAAAAAAAAAACGTGTATATATAACCATTACACACTAAGATCTTGGTTCCTTTTCATAATCGCGCATATCCGAACGTAACTTCCTCGATTATGGCCCCTGATTGTTCGAAAAATCGCATAATCAAGGTTGAATTCGAATTTAGGGAAAATCAAAATGAAACTGCCTGACAAAATGTGTAAAAGTATGCAATATGAAGGCATTGGATACTCAAGATTTTAACTGGCCTGCAATTTAAAAATTTAATTAAAAAATGGGAAAGTGAGGCCAAGTCTCGAATATACCTGTGCCCTCATTACCACAATGCACACATCATGTCGAAACTAGAAACTGTGATAACTTGGCTCAGAATGAAGTAATTTGAATTAAATTTTCATTTTACATGTATATTATTTATTTTTGAACAATCATAGCAAGAATGGTCAGCTCTTTATCTAAATCTTACAGAAAGTATCGTTAATGTATCTTTTTCAAATTTTGTCCCCACCCCCGCAGATTGGCTGCAAAACCTGTGAACACTGCCCTATAATTTATTCACATTTGTTTCAAAGTTGGTGTGAAGCATAGATATTCAGTATTCCACAAATTTCCTTTCCAGTATTATCCCACCTAGTTCGAAAACCTTTAGCAAACGTGATAGAGGCCGTAGGGTTTTTTTTTGGGTTTTGTTTATCAAATTTGGTCAACGTCACAGTTTTCCTTTCTGATATACTGCTGAATGTGTTGGCGTATTTCCACATTTTCAAAGTTTTTCTCGAAGACCGTTTCCTAAATTGTCACCAACTTAATGCTGTGGATAAACTGTTACAATTTAAATGTCTACTTTTGTATTTTATTACATTATATATGTATTTTTTGAATAAAGTATAGATACTTGTAGTATATTTTTTTGAATAATTATGTAAGTTGTACTGGTTTTTTGGCGTTTGGTTGCAATTACATTTAGAATTCTGAATGGTTATTGATAAATACATGTATAGAGAGAAATGGGGATTAACTTCCACTCGAATCACACTAGGTCATTTTGGGACTAACATGTGGTTTAGTTTTATTTCAATATGTGACAAGGAGTAGGGTCGCCTGTCCAACCTCGTGGGTTTTCTCCGGGTCCTCCGGTTTACTCCCACTGCTAAAGGCCCCTACGCGCAAGCGAATTATTGAAATAAAAAATTGAACCATGTGTTAGTCCCGAAATGACCTTATTTGTGTTGAGTGGACGTTAAACCCGATTTCTCTCTCTCTTAATTCAATGACGGAACTTATGATGCAACGAACATGCGTTAACCGTTTGACCACCGAAACCTCGAGAACGAAATAGATAGAGAGAAATGCAGGACGGAGGGGCTGACAAGGAAAGCTGTCTAGTCGTTCGGATGGGACGAAAAACCGAGGTCCCGTGTACACATTGGCGTGCACGTAAAAGATCCCTTGGCAGTTGGAATTCGATATAAGAGTAGGCCGTAGTGCCGCTGTCCGGGCAAAATTTCCCTCATAGCACACTGTATGGCGTATGCCCGTCTTCATTAGCCCAGGTTAAGAGCAGAACAGTAGGACGTTAAACCCCATTTCATTTCATTTCATTTCTCATTTGACATTAGAATTGCATCCGAAAATGATGTTTATTTAATGTTAGATTTACGTTAAAATGGTCGGTTAGATTTCCATCATTTTGCTCATCCTTTTAACGAAAATTTAATGTCAGGAAATGACGTTAATCTAATGTAGAGTTTACGTCATTTTTACGTCATATTTACGTCATTTTCTGACGTAAATCTAACGTAAAGTTTACGTCATTTTCTGGCGTAAATCTAACATAAGTGACGTAAACTTTACGCAAAATTTACGTTAGATTTACGTCAGAAAATGACGTAAACTTTACGTTAGATTTACGTCAGAAAATGACGTAAATGTAACGTAAAAATGACGTAAACTTTACGTTAGATTAACGTCATTTCCTGACGTAAAATTATCGTTAAAAAGATGAGCAAAATGATGGTAAACTGACTGACCATTTTTACGTAAATGTAACGTAAATTTAACATCATATTGTTATATGGGATATAACCAAAAAGGTAATGACTTAATAATTACACTAAAACACACATATATCTACACAATAATTAACAACCTATACTATTATCATGGGGGTGCTGAACCACAGACATTAGAGGTCTACCGCCAAAAGATAGGGGACACGTACAGCCTATACTGGGGCTTTTGTTATTATTATTTAATTCTTAAATTTGGTTAAGGTAGAAAAAATCTACCTGGTTATGACATACTATTACACATATATGTAAATGACTTTATTACTAACATATCATACTACTGTACATGGTAATATAAAATTAGATAATGACTGACTTAATTTCTGGCATGTTATTGTACATAGTTATTACTCTAGTTGATTACTGACATGTTATATGGTGATATACAACTATCATGACAACTGGCTTAATTACTGATATGTCATACTCTTGTACATTGTTATATACATGTACAACTATGATGACAACTGACTTAATTACTGACATGTTATAATACTGTACATGATTATATACAACTACATGAAAACTGACTTAATTGGAATCAATAATCAAATGGGGTTTATTCACGAGGGATGCAACCGGCTAGATACCCACGCCCTAATGGACACAGTTGGACTAAGTAGAATAGTGAAGTAAGAGGGGGTCACGGCTAGACGGGCCCGGCATCTAAACACTAAACTACATAGGGGATTTATACCAAACTGGCAGGATAGTGGAGTAAGGGGGAGTCACGACCAGACGGACTCGGCATCTAAACACTATTCCACCAAAAACAGACACCAAACCTACAGAGTGGGATAGTGGAGTAAAGGGAGGTCACGATAAGACGGGCCTGGCACCTAAACACAAACCCCACAAAGATGACATCTACCAAACTAGCAGGATAGTGGAGTAAGGGGAATTACGGTCAGACGAACTTGGCACCTAAACACTATTCCGCAAATAAAACGGATACCAAACCCAGAGAGTGGGACAGTGGAGAAAGGGGAGGCCACGATAAGACGGGCCTGGCACCTAAACACTAATCCCAAACGATGACATCTACCAATCTAGAAGCAGACGAAATCATCTACCAAACGATATGTTTTATATTAAATAAAGGGAAGAACTTCCCACTAAACCAAATCCATGGCCTAAGGCCAAATGGAAAGATTGCAAAATCATATTCTAAAAACAGGAATCAGCTTCGGCTCTCCTATGTCTTGTCTGCGATATCACTTATGTGGAAGCAGACGTTAAACACCAAGAACGAACGAACGAACGGCTAGAGTGCGGAGAAGAATGTACCACCAACCATGTCCTGGTAGACTGCGAGGTATACGAGGAGGAGAGAAGGGAACTAGTGAGAACAACGGAGACCAACAACATACCATTCAACACTAAGAACCTACTCTTCCCGTGAAGTAAGAGGGGGTCACGGCTAGACGGGCCCGACATCTAAACACTAAACTACATAGGGGATTTATACCAAACTGGCAGGATAATGGAGTAAGGGGGAGTCACGATCAGACGGACTCGGCATCTAAATACTATTCCACCAAAAACAGACACCAAACCTAAAGAGTGGGATAGTGGAGTAAGGGGTGGTCACGATAAGACGGGCCTGGCACCTAAACACAAACCCCACAAAGATGACATCTACCAAACTAGCAGGATAGTGGAGTAAGGGGGAGTTACGGTCAGACGAACTTGGCACCTAAACACTATTCCGCAAATAAAACTGATACCAAACCCAGAGAGTGGGATAGTGGAGTAAGGGGAGGCCACGATAAGACGGGCCTGGCACCTAAACACTAACCCCAATCGATGACATCTACCAATCCAGAAGCAGACGAGATCATATACCAAACGATATGTTTTATATTAAATAAAGGGAAGAACTTCCCACTAAACCAAATCCATGGCCTAAGGCCAATTGGAAAGATTGCAAAATCATATTCTAAAAAACAGGAATCAGCTTCGGCTCTCCTATGTCTTGTCTGCGATATCACTTATGTGGAAGCAGACGTTAAACACCAAGAACGAACGAACGGCTAGATGGTCACTGGTCTAATTGCTGATTGTCATACTCTTGTACATGGCCTAAGGCCAATTGGAAAGATTGCAAAATCATATTCTAAAAAACAGGAATCAGCTTCGGCTCTCCTATGTCTTGTCTGCGATATCACTTATGTGGAAGCAGACGTTAAACACCAAGAACGAACGGACGAACGGCATGTTATACTACTGTACATGATTATAAACAATTAGTTGATTTAATTACTGGTATGTTATACTACTGTACATGGAGATGTACAACTAGATGATAACTGACTTTATTACTGACATGTTATATGGTGATATACAACCAGATTACAATTAGATGATAACTGACTTACTTGCTGGCATGTTATTGTACATAGTTATTGCTCTAAGATAGTTGATTACTGACATGTTATACTACTGTACATAATATGGTGATATACAACTATGATGACATCTGACTTAATTACTGACATGTTAAACTACCGTACATGATTATAAACAGTGGTGATATACAACCTGATGATAACTGACTTAATTACTGACCTGTTAAACTATGGTACATGGAGATATACAACTAGATAACAGTTGATTTAATTACTGACATATTATACTACTGTACATGGAGATATACAACTAGAGTACAACTGACTTAATTACTAACATGTTATACTACTGTACATGGAGATATACAACCAGATAATGACTGACTTAATTACTGGCATGTTATTGTACATAGTTATTACTCTAGTAGATTAATGACATGCTATATGGTGATATACAACTATCATGACAACTAACTTAATTACAACATTTCACACTGAAAGATCCACATATAAATAAATAATTTATTTTAATGTTACTTTTAAACATTGAGAATGCTACACAAGACATAGTTACAGTTTCAGTTCTTCACTCATATTTGCAAATGGGTGTGGCAATGTCTGATGTGAGCTGGAAAAAGTTTACGAGCTTATTCCATCCACGCCAGGGACTTATAATCCTATATTTCCAATCACACATTGCCACCAAAAAGATCATGTTTTGAAAAGATCGAGATATCTCAAAGATAAAAAAGAAAAAATTTTGTATGTTGCAACTGACAAAGTTGCTGTTTCAATTTTTCACCCATATCTCAAAATTAGAGTGGCAATGTCCAATGGCATCAACGCCAGGGACTATACATCCCATCTGACATTGCCACCGAAAAGATCACAATATACGAAAAGATTTAGATATGTCAAATGAAAAAAAAATAAGAAAAGAAAATATTGTTACTTTTTTAGATCTCAAATTCAAATTAAAAACAAGCCCAAAACAAACAAACGTAGGGTGTAGTTTTCCTGAATGAATAAAAAGGAAATTTGATTTTTATGGCAGTAGGAAAAAGTTTACGGGCCTATGATAAGAAAAGTTATAGACAACTGTGAAGCTTTGTACAGCTTTCTCAAAAGAAAATGAAAATTTTATTTAGCTACTAATACACTTTCACAATACAGCATTAATTATCATCCGACTCAGAGTCACTATCCTCTGTATCACTACTTGCTTCATCAACGCCACTTTCATCAAATTCTAAATCACAGCTTTGTATATCTGTTATTATATCTATTAATTCCTCAGATGACAAAGGTTTTTCACGTTGAACATTACACAGTATCAAATCATTCAAATCTGTAGCCGAATTATGTTCTATTCCAGCATATTCAAATAATTCTTTTGACTTGATATATTGTCTAGTTAATCTATAAAGATGTGTTGATAAATAATGGATTTTTCCACACATATATCGAAGTTCTTTTGTGGAAGAAAACAACTGTAGATCTTTAATTTCAGATCTTATATCATTAATTGCACTCAACAAGTATCGGTGATAAGCAGCAATTTCACAATGAACAACTGTCATTTCTTCATGTGCATGTTCTTTCAGAGAAGCTGCTTCTGCAGCTTTTATTTGATCTGAATACAAAGAACACTCTGACAATTCATCAAACATTGGCAACGTTGGTAAAGAAACATCACTGAACTCTGTCCTGGATGTAAAATGTCCATTGTTAAGAATAGTTAATTCTTTCTCAATTTTGGCAGAATTTGCTGTCAACTTTCTACCGATACGGGAGCCTAAAACTTGACCATCTGAAAATAATAATATATAATACACTAACTAAACTATATTCTAACTATTATTATTGAAGATATATTATGATATAATTTTTACATATAACTATGAATACATCAACTGGCTGCGTTGAGACTAACACATACAGTCTTATAATTAACACTGATATATGTGATAATATTGGACCTCTATTCCCATCCCTGTAAATGACAATGTACAATTCCCTCTGTTCAAAATGAGTTACTAAAAGATAGTGGAACTGAGCTTGAAAATAGTAAAGTTCTTCTGTAACCCTTCTGTTAAAATTGTGTTTCCTGTCCACTCAACACAAACCGGGTTATTTCGAAACTAACATTGTGTTCCAATTTCATTAATTTAGTTGCATCTAGGGGTCTTTAGCATAGGGGGGGGGAATCAAAGTACCCAGAGATAGACCACCAGGTTAGGCAGGTGAGCCTACTCCTTGTCATGTAAAGCAGGAATCAAAACCATGCCACTTGACTCAATGACAGACCTTACGATCTAAAGCGCATGCCATCCTACTATTATTACAATGAAGCAGTTTTATATAACTGATTACTTACCTGCATACTTTTTCATCAATGAAGACAAATACTGTCGTTCACTGGAATACTGTCTTAGTTTTTCAAGACTATTAATTCTGCGCTTTTTTTGAGCACTTTTCAAAATACGATTAAAAGGCTCATTTTCAAGATTGACATCACTTTCTACCACTGAATTGAACACATTCTTTTTTAATTTGGCTCTTTCTTTCTTGAGGCTTAAACAAAGAAGCAAATTATGGTATTAAAAACAAGCAATCCGAGCTAGCTGTGGTCCAAAATGTCATCAGTGAATAGAGCTTTCAAAGGAAGGGTAGATAACAGTGAATGCAACATACGCCCACACCCATCAATCTTAAATATGTACAGGCGGCATCGATATTAAATGCAAGGACTCCCAATAGTTGATATTGACCAATCAGATTCCAGTAGGCTTATTAATTATGCAAAGAAAGACACTGATAACCAAATGATTTCAATGATCAACAAATAAAATTGTAATAAGTACAGACAAAATATCTAAATAAATAGCCTCCATTATCTGCTTCCAGATGAATATGAACTTGGGATTACTTGAAGAGATATTAAAACTCAAGAAAAGTTCTCCGTTTGGTAAAAATTTATTTTTGATTTGGCGTGTTTTGAAAGTTATATCAAGGGTGTTCAAATTAGATAGCTGGAAAATTTGCAAGAGATCTGCAAAAGCATTTTATGAAGTGCCGAAGTTGATGTTCCTGCTAAGGCAATAAAAGCAGTTAAAACAAATGTAAGAATACATTCATAATACCTTTCTAGATCTCTCTCAATCTTTTTCTTTTCTGTTGAATCAGCAGGACCTGTTTCTAGGATGTGTCTGCAAATAAATATTTAATAAATCAACACAAAAATTGATCAGAGTTCGATCATTTGGGTTTTTTACAAATACTATCTAAAAATGTACATCATTAGTGCTTGTATAATTTATCATCATATGGTTACCGGCCATATTTTGTACAAATACTGTTATTATTATTATAAGTTCATTTTTACAGTGCTACATTATAACAATAGTTATTTCTAAGCACTTTACTGGCATATTTATACAATGGTACACACGTGATTCTATTTATATGATTCTCTAAAAAGATGAGTCTTCAGTTTAAATTTAAACTGAGATAGTTGGATACATTCTGTGATGTCTCTGGGTTAATTACCAATTCAAAATCATAATGTCAGTGCTATTACTACATTTAAAACTAAACTAAAGACCATTCATTTAAAAAATATTTTAATCTGTGATCGTTTTAATAGGTAGATTATCCAGCGCTATTTTTAATTACATGTGGTTTTATCTAAATAAAAATTCATCATGTAGATATAATAGTGTCTTGTTCTATAGTATGTCCTTGTATAGCACACTTACACACATTTATGAGGCAGTTGTCTGCAGTAGAAGTGTGTAATAATAATATATCTTACAATCTTCTAACTCATTTTAAGTTAGTGAGCCCAGGGTTCTCTCTACTTGGCATCAACCAACCCTTATTTGGATAAATAAAGCTTTAAAACAGACCAAAAAAAAACAACCAACAATACTACACAAGTTTGTCTACCAGATGTGATGAAAGACAACCTAAAGTGCCAGAAATTTTATCTCTAAAATATTTACCTTTTCATCTGACTAACATACAAATTCTCAACATATAATTCATCGGAATTTAAATTAGTTGCTTAAATAGAAAAAAAATAATAATTTATTGTGCAACAAGTAAATGGTAGTAAAAACAATACAAAGTATAATAAAACTAGGGCAAAATATCAAAATTAGTTGATTACACCAATATTATCCAGTATAGCATGTAAATAGTTTTTGAAGTAGAACAATTCCTTCAAATTTCAACAAAACCTGGCAAGTATTCTTTGACCTGTAGTGTTTTCATATGAAATTTTGGATGGACCCAGTTAACGATAATATAAATCCACATATAACAGGGCATATCAAAATTATGAAGCTTACCAGGGACATTATCCAGTTCAGATTTCCATTTCATCAGCCAATTCTTTGCAGAATCAATATCAACTGAAAAAGAGATGTGTATTTTTATTTAACAAATCAATCATAAGAAGGTCATGGTCAAATACTGTCTGCAATCATTTTCTAAGATCAAGCTAATTTTTCAAGACTTGTTGTGGTTTCCAATTCATGTGAGCCATGTAATTAACAATATATTGCATTTCTATTAAATCTGAACACATTTATTTTACTCATATCACATGTGTAGAGACCATATATGTTTACAACAATGTAATGAATTTATTTAATTTTATTACCATTCATATTAGTTGTTACACTACTAATAATGTCTGAACAGTTTGATATTGTCTATTCAGCTTTCTGTATTTTACTATATAAACGCGTACCTGAAAAAGATGAGCAAGCTAATAACACTAGGGCCTAGGTGCCATTTACATTTGATGAAAAATGGTGAGAAACTGCTCTTACTATCTAGAATCTAATACATGTAGATGGCCATCAAGTTTTGGTCAACATAACTATTGGCCAGCAATCCATATATGTCTCTCAGCAGCTCTTTGAAGGGTGGCATATTGGTTAGGGTTAAATTAATCCCCCAAAATTGTGACCTCAAGTTTTCACATGATTTTTGGGAAGGGGTTATATCGGAGTACCCATACTATGTACAACTAAATGCATTCATTTCTAATCAATGCAATAATTTCAAAATTCTAGGAGTCAACAAAATGATATAGGATCTTAACACTATGTTCTCTTTTCAAAAAGATCGGATGATAGCTTTAGCTGCTAAACTTTCTGAAAGAACAGACAAAGTCATCAAATGCAATAGCTTTAAATGTAATTACCCAAATGCTTTTTGTCTCCCTTATATCAATAGAGCTATGTCTTTATGTTTTTGTGTATATATCTAATCTAGTAAATCATGAATAATCATTACCAAAATCAGATATAATCTGTGATGTTTTATGAAGAACTGCCTCTGTTAGCAAATCACATCTGTTATCATATGACATTTCTTTGGTTATTATTTTGAATCTTCGTAGGTAGCTCCATAGACGTTCAATGCCTTCTCCATCTGTCATTCCAGTGCCAGTCACATATCTCTGACCATATTTCAACTTTAAAAATAAAAAAAAAATCATTAAATTAAAGCTTTAGCAATTTAAGTAAGATAAATTGATTTTATGATAAAAAATTATATAACGCAACGCTGAGAGAGCAAGTATTTTAATTGAAACTACTTGACAGGTAGAATGAAATATAAATCAAATGTTGACATTAATAATATTCCATCCATATAAACCACATTTTGGTTTGCAAAATATATTGAATATCACTAATACTGTGAGTTTACCTGACAGTCTAGGTTGTGAGCAAAACTGTGGAATATTGGTACAGAAAACTGATAGTGACTCAGCAATTGAAAATTCTCAGTTTTCTGTTAAATAAAAAGTATTTGTAAGAACATGAAAGTAAATATAAAGCAATATAATTGTATCTAAACAATGTGTAATACTTGTTGAACAACAGCTCATTGTATGACATCACATACTGATAATGCTGGCTTTATACGTTTAATTGTATATTCAAATTGAAATAAATTCCAACAATGCAAAACTTCTCAATCGAATTACAATCATCAAAGCTTCTTTTATATATGTAAATGGGACCTTTTATTTTTGTCCCATCTTAATGACTAGGCACTGTTTCATGCGAGGAACTATGTTGTACAAACATGGAAAAATGTGTTCTAATGAATTGTATTTTTTTAAAAACAGGATTGTTCCCAATTTCAAGCTGGTAGTGTGCTCAGATCAAAAAGAAAAATGTCGAAATTAGATGTGACCGGGTTATTTGGGGCTATATGCAAGCATGATATACCAATTTGCTTTATCGACATTTATTTTATTTTTAAAGGATTTTATGTAGATTATCTTTGAAAATACAGTACAGTAAATTTTCTATATTGCTGTTTATAATATATTTCATCTTCATAGTACTTTTATTTATAGTTAAAGTTTGGTTCATTTTGACAACTGCATTGGATGAACTATGTTATGGTTACAATGCAGCTTATTTCCACCATTTTCTAATTGCGATAAACAGTATTTATGATATCAATTTTCAGATTTAAAGGACAATAGAATTGGCTGTCACTAGATAAGGGACACGAGAAAAATAGAAAAACCCTGTGCATTCCCCCATTTTTATTCATGCTGTTCTTAATGAAAACATGGTAATGCATGGATTTTTTCTAATTTGTTCGTTATCTTTTATCTACTGACAGCCAATTCTTTTTTTGAATTGTCTGATATCCTCTCATCGTCTCATATAACAACTTTTCATCTTCAACTGAATTATCAGTGAAATGAAATTTGGTCGTTTGTCTGTTACCGCTCATTACTTCAGTCTGTTATATAGAAGGACAACTCGTGTTTTTCATCTTTGACGTCGCTTCCCGTTTCTTCACGTGCTTGATACTCAGCTATCGTAGCAATGATCTCTGTGTTAAAATTATTTAACGAGCTCTATCACATATTTTATAATGACTGACACCAATATTGTCCTTTAAAAGAATAAAATTCAAATATATAATTGGTTGAAGTAACTGTACTGTAAATAAATTTTAGAAATAGTAACAATTCAATTTCCTTTTTCATTTTGTATTGAAAATTAGACTTGGCTATGCAGTTTATGTATTAAAGAAATTAATATTGTCTATGCATGACAGTTCTTGGAGCATATCAACATGTTATTTGATTTTATTAAGTTATTGTTTATTACCATGATTATGCTATAAAGATAAGTTAAGGTGGATTAGTGTTAAGAGTAGCTCTGTATCATGATAAGTACTGCTGATTTACCTACCAAACTGATGGTTTACAATCCCCAAACTAGATTAGAGGTTAAAATTGAAGAGACTTGTTCATGTGCCTTAATTTTATAGAGAAAATAAAGGTGTATATATATGCCATTAATAGCTCACTATATTTGTTTATGAAATAATTAGTAATATTATTATATTTTTTTTTTCAAAACTGGAGGTTAGTGCATGGTTTATCCCCAATTCTTTCAATAATTCGCTTGAGCGTAGGGGTCTTTAGCAGTGGGAGGAAACCGGGGGACCCGGAGAAAACCGACGAGGTTGGACAGGCGACCCTACTCCTTGTCACGTACGACCGGGGATTTGAAACCACGCCAGTTGACTCAATGACAGGCTTTATGATACAGCACGCACGTGCTAACTATTCGGCCATCCACCCCCCCCCCCACACACACACACCATAAGAAACTATCTAGACGACCGTGCGTAATCATAAATGTGCCAGGAAATAATTGGTAGATCCAAACAGCCAAAGAAAAATACTTTCCAGTAATTTATAACACAATAACTGGAATTTCGTATTAATACCCGTATTTTGATATTTTAAACACCCCTACCCCCACTCTTTCAGGTCTCTCTATAAACAGAGTTGAGTACAGCCTAATTAACTTTGATCCATTTAAAAAATAACAATATATAAGCATTGTGCCCAACAAATAAATAATATATTTAAAGAGGGGAATGACTATACATTTTTTAGTATGGTCATAGAGAATTTTTGATTAAGCCCCGTATCTTTATTTTAATTTAGTTTATCCCCCCCCCCCCCAGCCTTCCTTCACTTCAACTTTAATCTTATTTTGTAAAGTTAAGCAAATATGAATGTGCCCGAAAATTATTTGAAAAGAACAATCAGTGATACGTAACATGGTATCTGGAATTTCGTATTTAGACCAGTATTTTTACTTGAATACCTCTTAAATAGTGTGACATTTATTGGATTTGAATTATGAAAATACGATTGTGCCAGAAAACTATTTACATATTTACAAACAGAACGTGCTTTTTACTAATATGTAACATGATACCTAGAATTTCGTATTTGGACATTGCATATCCCCCACACCCACACCCCGTAATCATGGTAAAATACCATCCAAAGTGACAAGGTAAGTAAATTTCTTATTGTGTGCTAGGCTGATTTCCTGTTATAGTGTCGTGAATATCCTTGTTCTGGTTTATAGTGTGCCAGGTTTCCGTATATGTTAATAAGTCACGTGATATCCACATTAGCATATGCAAGTTGATGCTATGCGAAAACTGCTATGTAGAAAGCGTGAAGGACAAATGGGATGTGGCAGAGCGCAAATGTAAAATGTAATGAGAGAAATGTAAAATGTAGACATGTCAAAAAAGCATTTTCCCACAAAACATTTGTCATTTAACACTTAACATTTGACGTTTTACATTTAACTTTTGCTTTAGAGGTATTTTTACTTTATCATTACCGGTATTAGGACTTTGTACATTGTACATTTTACATATAATCAATGGAAAAGACATTGTAGCAGAGCATTTAATATTGGCAGCGATACCCTTCCATAAATTATCTCCAAAATAGGGAAATTACAGGTTAATTTCATGGGTTATTGTTTCCTTTACCTAGTTTTTGTCAAGTCGATTCCGGTCATTTTTATTTTTTGTATCAAATGTTGGGAGGTTGCTTGTTCACGTGAGCATAAAATTTTTAAACCCACCCCATGAAAGAAGTAGCTATAGGGCGTCAAACTTTGGGTGACGAAAAATGGGGAATTTAGACAGGCTTTGATATCCAGTCCGTATACAGATCTCGTTCGCCAGAATCGCCTGTAGTTAATATTGTGGTAACAGCTCTGAGTCATCGATAAACTGTGTGAGTTTGGTCTTTCTGCTACGTATAGTAAAGGTGTAAGGACTTGCCAAAGTTGGTATTTGAGAAAAGACAGATTTTGGCAATTTCACCATATGAAAAATGTTTTTTCAATTTTCTTATACAGGAATTGAAAGATTTATCTAATATTGCACATTTATGTGTTTTGGGACTATCCCAACTTATAAACCAAATTTGGTCAAAATCTGTGATTGAAGCCTTAGCACCTTCTGCATGGTTTTCTCGCGGACACGCTCTTAATGTGTGTAAAAAATGTTTCTTAACACATTCGGGCTGAAAGAATGGTCTGTTAGAAATTGGGTCCTTTGTGCGAAGGATAAATACGGTATGCACGAGAGTTACAGCTATCGAAAACAAAACGGAGACACATCTACTGCCAACAAAAATAAGATCAGTATTGCAAGAGAATTTCTTAAATCATTACCCAAGCTGCAATCACATTTTTTGCGCTCTGATTCGAAACATTACCTAGAAACAACAACTGACACAAAGAGAAAATTGTATGAAGTGTTCCAAAGTTACTGTGACTCAAAAGATTACCCGAAGGTTTCTATCCAAGTGCTCAGCAAATGTCGCCATTACAAAACACCAAAAAGACGAATGCAATCTATGTTGTTCATATAAGCACAACACCATATCCGATGAAGAAAACCAGCTTCACATATAGAGAAAAGAAGAGGCTAAAGAAGAAAAGAAGAAAGACAAAAAAGACGCTCAGTCTGAAGATGGTGATATTGTGGTACTTACCATGGATCTTCAAGTGGTTCTTCTATCAACAAGAATTTTTGCAAATGCCAATTACTACAAAACAAAACTCTCGTGCCACAACTTCACCACCTATAATCTAGGAACTAGGGAAGTGTACTGTTATTTCTGGCATGAGGGCCAAGGTGAAGTTACTGGAAACAATTTCGCATCTTGTATTGTTGACCAGGTTCAGCATATTATTAGTCAAAATGTTGAAAAACCACCAAAAAACATTATTCTTTATAGTGATGGCTGCTGCTATCAGAACCGGAATTTTGTATTGGCCAACGCACTCCTTAACCTGTCAAACTCTCGTGCCACAACTTCACCACCTATAATCTAGGAACTAGGGAAGTGTACTGCTATTTCTGGCATGAGGGCCAAAGTGAAGTTACTGGAAACAATTTCGCATCTTGTATTGTTGACCAGGTTCAGCATATCATTAGTCAAAATGTTGAAAAACCACCAAAAACCATTATTCTTTATAGTGATGGCTGCTGCTATCAGAACCGGAATTTTGTATTGGCCAACGCACTCCTTAACCTGTCAATGTCAACTGGTGTTACAATAATTCAAAAGATTTTGGAGAAAGGTCATACCTGGATGGAGGTGGACTCCGTTCATTCTGCCATCGAAAATAAGCTCCGAAATCGTGAAGTATATTGGCTAGCCGAGTACGTAAATATATTTAGATCAGCCAGAAGGGAGCCGCAATAGCAGATCAAGTATGTCGATCATACATTCTTTTAAAATTATAGCCAATTGTCATATTTGAGCAGTATCAGACCTGGTAACTCAGTTGGAGATCATGTCGTTACTGATATTCGTATGCTCTTAAATATTCTCCTGATCTGAAAGTAGAATTTAAGCTTTTGTTTTCAGAAGAGTGGCAGTTGCTTCCCAGGAGACCTAAAGCTCGTCATAATCAAATTGTCGC